AAAAAAATACTTCAGTCTTTTTAATTTTAGTTCCCTTATCAGTGTCGTATGCACATTCTGATCTAAATTTTTTGAGGTTATTTTTGATGCTGTATTTGTGAACACTGTCCAATTATCCAGGCTGAAAAGTTCATTTCAAAATAACCCTGTCGTGTTTATGCCTACTCATAGAGTAAGTCTTAGCTTTTTTCTTTTTTCTTTCTCAAGAGGATAATGTAATGCCATACTTCTGTTAATTGTTGCAAGTAGTACGCAGTGGGAGGGAAGGAGATGGATGAGATGGTGGGGAGTAGAGGAGGTGGGTTAACGAAGGGGAACTGCAAATGGTCAAAAAATGACTTGTTCAGCTTTTTTCCAAATCCTTCATTGAAATGTGTGGGAGGAAATTACTACGGATGATTTAGTTGCTACTTTATGCACTTAAGTTGGTGCTGGCACTTTGAGACTGCATTGTTGACATTTCGCAGAACATGCTGTGTTCAGTCTGCAACTTTTTTTTTTTGGTTTTTGGAATACCGGAAACCTAGTCCTCTTAGATTTAAAGGTTCTGACTGTCAACAACTCTATAAAATTCTGGGACGGCAGACTTTTGAGCAAGGGAGCTGAGACTCAATACTGTGGGAAGCAGTTCTGCCATCTTGTATACTATTACTTTAGTGAAATTCCTCCTAAATTTGTCATTTCTTTGATGCTTTAGTCCTATATGGATTTCCTTTTACTGTCTATACTCTGTTTCGATCAAGAGATTCCTCTTCCTGCAATCGCTTCTGCTATGGATTTCATGCATTCAAAGATGATTGGTGAGACGCTACGAAGATGTGGTGCCTTTTTTATAAGAAGAAATGTTGGGAAAGTAAGTATTTTTCGTTTTTACCGTTTAAAAGAAAGGAATAAAAAACTAACTTCACCTTTTTGAGTGAATAGAATGCGCTAATGGAGGAAATGTTTTAGGACCGATTGTACTGGGCTATTTTTACAGAATATGTTCAAGCTCACATAACTAACGCTGATCATCCTTTAGAATTTTTTATTGAAGGGACAAGGAGCCGCTCAAATAAAAGCCTTTTCCCAAAATTTGGTCTTCTTCAAATTCTTTTAGAGCCATTTTTTCGTAGACGCGTCTATGACATGGTATTTTGAATTCATTTTTTAAGAGCCATTGGCTTTATAGTAATGAGAATGTTCTCAGAAATACTTTTGAGACAGACGATTTTGTGGAAAATTTTTTATTTTTTTTTAGACTTAAGATTTAGGTTGTCATTCCTGTCACTATTGGTTACGATAAAATTGTAGAAGAATGCTTGTTTGCCTGCGAAACCTTGGGTTTTTCTAAGCCAAAAGAGTCGGCTGTGGGTCAGCTCTCATCTTCAATTTTTTTCAAACCAACCTTTCTAATTTGCAATTTAAAGTTTATTCAATTTGCTATAGTGTCATTTTTCACTACAGGTTTATTTAAGGCTCGTAGAGTCTTGAACAACAGATATGGTCGGGTGTTTATGACTTTTGGAGAGCCAATTTCAATGCGAAAATACTTCAAACCTCTACTTCAGCCATCTGTTGTCAGTAAAGTAATGGTCAGCAATATTTGGTTTTTAAAGATGGCTGTGGATTACTTTTACTTTAAAGAATGGAACTTTAGTTTGAAACACCGTATATTTTGACCGAGCAGGAGAAAGTAGCTGCTGTAGAATTTGGCCATTTTGTAGTGCAGGTACATAGCTCTATAGAAGTTGTTTGCGAGTGGCCGTACGTTTCATTTTTACTATTAGAAGTAAGCAGTTTTATTTTTTTAGTCATGTATATTAGACTTCAAGTATAAAATACAGATTTAGTTGTAAAAAAAATCGCGTTATTGCACTGTAGTTATATTTCCATCATTTCTTACTTTTGGGTGATTTCAGGTTTTTGAAGAGGAACGATTAACTGAAAGAACAGTTGGGATTACTGTAAAAGAATTATTATATCTGTTAACAAATCTTACCGAATTCGTTAAAAGAATTGGAAAAACTGTTACTTTTATTGATGGGCTCGCTGAAGATTTGCTGTAAAGTATTTTATTACTCAGTTAATTTAAATTGGTTTTGGATTTGAATTTTAAATTGTATTCTTCTATGGGAAATTAAAAGATTAGTGGCTATTACGAACTGGGCCTTAATTCTTTTATTTTTTTTCTTGAATATAGCTTTCAATTAGGGTTCTGTTATATACTGCTTTTAGATACTTCTTGAAGCTGCATTCAGAATTGTTTAGTATTCAGCCTGAGAATATTACGCTAGACTCGGTACTTAAACCAGCACTTCAACCCGTTGGTTGTTCTAAAATTCTCCCAACGGAACTAATGCAAGAAGCTGTTACTTATATATCACTTTGGGGCTATTCTAACCAAGTATTCTTTTGTAGTTCTTTTGCTTTTTTAGGTTTCTTTACAAGCGACTTTAATAAAAAAAGCAGTTTTTTGGTACAAAAAAGCTAAATTTTTCTTTAGAATGCAAATTAGATTTAGAAATCTTTATATTTTTTGTTGTTATCTTTTATATTTATTATTTTAGATTTTGCATGGCCTCGCTGATGCAGCTATTCTTTGCTCCATCTTACGTCATGGAGAAATTCTACCTCTAACGAAGTGCAGGGAGTATTATTGGTAGGACCGCATTTAATGTAACGAGCTATACTTAAAAACAGATTCTTATCTTACAACTCGTGGTGACATTTGACTTCGAGTTATGTTGTCAATTATTTTCAAAAATAACCTTTATTTAACAATTCGAAACGAAACATTTATTTGTGTATTAGCATGTATTTATTATATATGGTTGTTTTAGCGTGCTTAGAGAACTGCTCGACCACGAGTTTGTTTTTCACTCTAGATCAAATGCGTTGCTTGACTCGTTTTTGGGAGCGACCACTTTGCTTTCCAACAGTGGTTTCGTGTTCTGTGGCAATGATGTAGTCAAGTCTCTTGATCTTAGTGGTATTCGGCGGCTTTCATCTTTTATTGAAGTTTGTAACCAACTTTGTACTTTTTTTTTATTATTCTACGCCACTCAAACAGCTCTGTGCTTTAACTTCCACGATTTTTTGCGTTTAACCTATATTTGTTAGCTTCACTCCTTTCCACAGTTTAGTTTAAACGTTTATTTCATTTTAGTTACTGTAATTAATTGCCTATTTTAAGCTTGTTTTGAAAAGTACCATCAGGTGACTTTTTAGCCGTTCCTGTGCTCTTATTCGTTCTTTTTGGAAACTGCCGCTTCTTTCGCAGGATCAGTGGTTGCCGGTGATATATTGCTGCATGGCACTCAAAAGAAGATTGCAGGTCCTTTGAAATATTCTAAAAGAAGGTCTCGACTGCAGTGTCTTTCATTGGATCCCTTAAAGAATGCTTTGAATTCGCTTGTAGCTAAAAAAGCTCTCATTAAGCAGGTATTTATTTCTTTGCGAAACATGATTAAAGTTTTAAGTAACCGACTGCGTAGTTTTAGGATGGGAACGAATATTTTGTCAATGGTGCTCTTATAAAAAATTTTATTCATTGCCTTAACTTCGTCTTATTGTTTTGCGAAGGTGAAGCTCAAGCAGTAGTGCCACGTTCCAAGCTGTAATTTTATTCCAACAGCTTTAGAATTTTTTGTTCGGGATGCTTTTGATTTACTTAGCTAAAGCACTGATTAAGGAGTTAATCTTTGTTTTATTTCGATAGGAACTGCTTGTTTCAACAGTGTCGCTTCCGCGTCGTTGTACGTAGTGATACTTTCTTGTTTAGCTCATTTATCTTTCATTTGATTTTCTTTTTCAATAGTTTTGGAATTTTCAACTCCATAACCTTGTCTTTGCTGAATGGACTGTAGCCTCTTCCATATCATAAGCTATGAATTGCTAGAATATCTGAATTTTAATTTTGTAAAATAATTCTTGTAACTGCATAATTTTTGGAGACTGTGAACTTCAGTTCTTGACTGGTGGTCTCATAACTGGTATTTTTGACCTTGTGGAACGTCTATGCTTTAATAACTCAGCTTCTTTTGTTGAACGGTTCGTCATTTTTTCTTGCTATGAGTCTTTTGTTAAATATACTGAATCTAAATATTGAAAGTGAACAACTGATCTGGAATGATGTTGAAAGCTCCTGTGGTGGAGTTCCGACTAGTGTTGAAGAAATATGCTTATTTTTGAGTTTTCTTTGATGAGAAAACGAATTACTGTCTAGATTTTAATGAAATATTTGAAATGGTTGTTATTATAGAAATAAAAAATAGGCATTAATCAAACAGCGTAGTGCTAAAATTGCTTTCACTGTAGTTTCAGTGGTTGCCAAGACCTTCCCCTGCAGTGGCCTAAATTTGCGAAGTTTGAGGTACGTGATCAATATTCTGTAGCAAAAAAGCACGAAAGTCTCCGTGAAAACCACTGCAGCTATTATTGCTGAAAGCAGAGCAGTTATCTATCCATTATCTCTTTACTGTTTATTTGGTCATTTTGGGCTGAAATGCAAAGAAATTTAGTCAATTGCAAGTTTCATTACCGCATTTTGGCGTCCTTTTGTGATCTGGTGGCAGCTTGTCGACCATTTGCCAATACATGAGAATTTGTGCCAAGGCAGCGAGCAGAAGCCAGATCAACGAAAGCTTTGGAACTTGTACCGTTGCGACCACATAAGTCACACTGAAATGCTATTTTTATTGGTCGTTAAAACATTAACTTTTGAGGGTTTGAGATAGAGCCACTGAAAGAGTGCTTGGAAAAGCTGAGCAAATGGGAATCAGCTTAGGAGCAGATTTTTTGTACCGTTAGTTTTTAAATTTTTGTTAATTTCTATCTAGGGATCCGCTGCACGAACTGGTTGAGGTGGTGGATTGTAGTTGTAGGTCAGTCGTGGTACTATTCTTTTTAAACTTACGCGGCAATACAAAATATAGGCAGTGCTATTGAAACCATGTAGTAGTAGGGTAATCGTGTAAAAGCAATCTTTATCCTTATCAGTGTGTCTACCACCTTAGGATCACTGTAATAAACAGTTATTATGGCATTATATTTCTCTTTCCTCTAGTGATGAAGGGCTATCAATAAATTTCTTTAAAGCTCAAGCAGTTTTTTTAGGTAAGTTTCCTAGAAATTTCAAAGGTAGATGTACTTTAATATCTGCTAAAATAACTTGTAAAAAAGCGGTAATTACTTTTTTAACAAAATAATATCAGCAATAATTTCTTCGAAACAATTAAGAGTTATAAGAGTAATTTATTAGCAACCTTTCATCATAAGCATTGGTAACTAAAACGTGCTGCGTTTCAATTGCATTTACGTAATAGTCTCCAACTTGGTATGTGTCGTCTGATCCTCCGATACCAAAAACATTCCGCGGCTGTAATCTTGTAGTTGCACTACGAATTCGAACCCTAAAATTACTGTTGATGTTATTGCTAATTGCAGTTCCTACGAAGGTGAGGGATTTTTGTTCTATTGAATTTCGGAGAATTTCTTGAAATATAATTGATGGGAAACTAAACGATCTGCTATTAAAAAATGGAATTGAATTTTCGGCTTTTAAAGCCATTATGAGTGGTAATAATACTTTTGGAATGACTCGCTCCCATAAATGGCAAAAACACAGCTTTGTGTGTCATGTGGATAATCGCTGAAGTCGAAAACACACGGAGAACGCAGAGTTAGAGAAACCTAGAGAGAATAAACCAACGAATCATAATGATCCTGTAAATTGCAGAGGACTTCCAGTAAGAAGTGTACCATTTAAACAGGCTTTAAAACGCCTTATCGTCAAAATTGAGGAGGAGTGTTATAAATATCCAGGAAATTTTGTTAAATTTCACAGGAATTTTTGTAAACTAGAATTTACAAAGGTTTTTAGCTTATGAAAAATTTGATATCTCAGTAGCAATCCAAAAACTTTATACACTTAGCAGAAGTTATTTTCAGACATTGTTCCACTGCTTCGCTTAGTGAAGATGCACAAAGTTGGTCTTCATTTACCAAAAAAAACCTGCGGTTTTTTACGGAAGTAACAGACGGAAACCTCAGAGCTGGTGAAAAGGGCCTACTGGAAAGCTTCTTTACAAATTCGTAACGAGTATAATTACAAATTTTATGGAGGGTAAAGGATAAGCGAAAATTGCTGTTTAGCACAAATATAAAAAAAAAAAAGATTATAGCCCTGAAACGAAGTAATTTGACACACTGCTGAAGAATTTGGAAATTGGTTACCTGTGAGAAATTGTTGCTCAAATACTTCTTAATTTTGAAGCACTGTGGTTGTACAGTGATTAAAAGCGTAGATTAAAGCGCATTTACCAGTGGAAACTATTATAATGGATATTTAAAACGTTGTAGCAACTAGAAGTATCAACATTTCTAAAGAGTGCAACATCGTTTTCTGTTGACTAAGCCGCCATTGTTTGATTTTCTCTTTTCTCCACTTCTTTTTTTTTCGATCTTTTGAACCTTGCTTTTAGAGAACATATCTTACGACGTACAAACAAGTGCAGAAGTCCTGCCATTCTCTTGCAGTCAGAATTGCATCCTATGAGAGGTTGAACCGAAAATAAAGCATTTCCAAATCAACATTTACACACCGCTCCGTGCTTTCGCAGTGTTGTACCCGTACAGGAAAATAAAAAAGAAAAACATTGCTAATCTTTAGTCTTTCAATAATAGAGACAAAAAAATTTCCTGATATCACTTTAGGTAATTCAGAAGAGTATCTAGAAATGCCAAATAAAAGATGTGAAAGAAATTTTTGGCAGAAACTAAATTTTATTTTGGAACAGTTAAGCATTTAACAGTCTTGGTAACGCCCACATTGTAAAGCTAATTTGTCGTTGAAAAGTTTATAAGCGTTAAGCATATCCTGTCGTATTTTCAACCAAAATCATATATGCCATTATTTTAGAAAAAGTTTTGAGGTAATAAGACTTTTTTGTTTTTTAGAAAACGTAAAAGAGCCGGCGGCAACAGCTTCTATATTAACGGCATGTGAAAACAAAAAATATGACACTGCCTTTCCCAAGCCTCCCAGATCATGGTCACCAAATATGCCTGATCAGTGTTGAAGATAGGGACAGAGACATCACCGTTCTTGACACTATCAAAAAGTGCGTTCTTATAAACCGTGTGCTAGTTGTGCCAAACTGGTTAGGTATTCAAATTGACTATTTCCGGGTATTGCTGTA